GTTTACCATATTCTAAGGTAAAATTGCATGTCCCCTTGACACATTTTTTTGTTTTTTTATTTTTATTTTGCTCCCTTAAAATGTAATAATGTACTGTGTTTATGACTCTAGACCATGTTTGTTTGTTCATGATCGTTTGATCACGATTGTTGATTATGTGCTGTTTCAAATAAAGGGAAAAAAAATAATTCAAGTCTATGACAATCAATGAGCATTCTGCCCTCTTGTGGTTACTTCCCACCTAAACTTTGGACTTTTTAAGAGTCACAAGATGATTACAGGACAGAAACAGACATATTAAAGATGCAGGCCGAATAAGAATGCTCTGTTAAAGGTGGCTGGTTATTTCCTGGAGGAGGAGGAGAAGAGGAAGGTTAGAGCGTTGGTGTGGAAGCAGGTCACTACTGAAGGAAACAGCTGAAATAATTCACTTTAATATAAGCTAAAACTCAACATCAACAGTTCAGGCGAAACGTGTACATTTCTAATGAATATCTTTATGGATGTTAAAATATTGAGTGTTATAGCTGTTCAGGGGTTGTTTGTCGTTGCTTCACTTCATGACGTGTCGCCTCCTCTGCCTATAAGTGCTCAGCTGCTCTCACATTTCTGAGTCGAACCTCAGCGGCTGCACTTCCTTTCTGATGCTCTGTTTCTGTGCAGCCATGAAGGGTCACATGGGTGGATGGACTCTTCTCTGCTTAGCTGCTTTAATTCCCGGTAAGACGGGGGACGTTCATGTTTTATTTTAACTTCAGGGGGACGATTTGAARTCAGTTATCAGGTCTTTGTGTTTTCTCTAATTCTGTTCAGAAGACAGAACTTCAAATCTTTAACTTTTTTCTTATTTTTTTTTAAATTACACCAAAGTATTTATAACATAATCTAATTTAAATGAGGCTTTGTAGAATCTATCGTTGTTTAAAGTATTCCCTCACAGCTCAGTTTTGCCGGTGCTTTCACATTATCTTCTGCACACCTCAGTGATGCTCTGGTTTCCTCTCCAACACGTCGCTCGGTGGTTCAGAGGTCTTCAGTGGTCTCAGTTTCGCTCTTCCTCACTCTGTGGTTTAAGCAGTGGGTGAGATCATGAAGTCAGCTCTTTATTGTTAAGTTCTGCCGCCACAACTCAATGCACAATGCTTTTTACACGTTTAGCTGTCAGTATGTGTGTGGGGGGCTTTCTGCAGTTGTGACATTTATTCTGCAGCAGCCCCCGGGAGGGAACTTGCTGCACAAAAAGGCTTTTGCAACAAAAATATAGGAAACTACATCAAATCAGGCTCATATTGAGAACTGCAGAGTCACAAYTTAGCACTGTTTAATATTGAGCATCACAAGTTGAAATGTATAGATTTTTTTTGGGCTCCTCTCTATGATTTTGATGCAGTTATGTGCAAATATTTGCAGTGTGTATTAAAATCCAAGGTGCGAATTTACTTCATTACAAAACTCTAAATATCAAGTACTTTTTAGAATCTTAACTTTTTCTTTTATTTGTTACATTCAACACATACAAATGATACTTTTCCTTCTTTACTTTAAAATTTAACACCACATTACACACTATGTCCAGAATGGAATGAATTGAATTGTTTATGCACCCTAAAAAAATAAAAGTGTTTAATTTATTTATTCCAGCTGGTTATATTATATGGTGGACCAAAACTGACATAAATAAAAGCAGAAGTACACAAAAAGACCAATAAATAAATAAATAAATGCACTTTAAAATGCACCAATTAAATAAAAAGAACTCCACATCGTGTTTATAACTTAATTGACCTACATATTTATTTTTCCAGCTTAGTTCCAATAAATTATACATTTCAGCACATATAAATCTATACTTATTTTACTTGTACCTGTTGTGTTTATATTAAAGGATTTTAAATAAATTTTCCCACAAGTCTTTTTATTTTCATGTGTTGTTTTTACATTTCTCTGTCTCCTGTTTTTACTTTATCTCATGCATTTCTGCCTCAAAAYARTCTAAAGAAACATCAGATTCAGTCTGTYGTCGGCCGTTGCAGCAATGCTTTCTTCACATTCTGTCATTCCCCTTTGACATCACTTCCTGTTTCTTCACATGCAAATATCTCAACCACTTTTCATCTCAGCGGCATTAAAATATTTTTGCAATATGTTACCAATGTTTTCTTTTAAAAAATGCATTCATGTTGATTTAAAAAAATGATGTCACAGGTACTTTAAGGCCCATTTGTTGCCTTCGATTGCTCGGTTTAACTGAAACGTTRTTCATTTCAGTTTGGGGTCCAACTTTTCTTTATTCTGTACTTTTTAATATCTTGTTACTAAAAAGGCGTTTATAAAAAAACTTGCCTTACCTAAAATAAAAAAGAGAGACTGTGAGACGGATTGATCTGCACCTTCAACAGGTTTCCACCTTCAGAAAACCGTCGGCTCCTTCCAGTCCGACGCTCAGCTCTACAATCCTGTCCTGCAACCCACTGAGGCCATTCCCACACCTGGTACTCACAAACACAACTCAGATCTACAACCAKCATAACATAAATTTAAAATGAGCTCAAATAAAGCAGTTTATTTATGTTTTGCTCAGGAACTTACACGGTGGAAGACCTTGTTGGGAAAACATGCATCAAAGCCACCATGGGAGCAGAGTACATTATCATMGAAAAGAACGTCAGTTAAAAAAAATGTTTTCAGCAGCATGTGTTGTGTTACATCTCAGAAGGAAGTTCTGTTTCCCTCTATGTTCCTTTAGAAAARCTGGTATTTCAACCTGGAGCCGTCACTGGTTAAGATCCTCGGTTACTGTGGAGAAGAAGAAGCTCGCCTTTCTCTAACGCTGCCAGATAACTCTGCCAGTCTGCAGTTCACCTTCAGATCAGTACGGAAATAAAATCACACCACAAACTGTTTGGTTGTTCAAAATAAAAAAAATTGGGGGGAAAAATGCAACTAAAACATCTGTAACTTTTCAGATAAAATGCTTTATTTATTAATTTTAAATGTTTTTTTTATTTTTTTGTCTGCAGGAAAAACATAACTTTTATGTCACTGAGTTGACTGCTCACTTGTCTCTTCAACCAGCCTGCAATGGATGCCCCAGTAAGAGTTTTATTTGTTCAGACAAAATATTTAACCTAAAACAACCATTTTTTACATACATACATACATACATACATACATACATACATACATACATACATACATACATACATACATACATACATACATACATACATACATACATACNCATACATACATACATACATACATACATACATACATACATACATACATACATACATACATACATACATACATACATAAATAAAAATGTTTCTGTCGTCTTTCTTCTCCCTCACAGACAGAACTTATTCTGGGTCAATGACCCATGTGGAGCTTTTCAAAACAGGCAACTATGAGAGTTTCAAATGTCGATCAGAATATCTCCTTTCGGTTTCTTCGGCGCTGAGGATCAAGTTGGTTCCTCTGCAGATACAAGCCTTCAGCATCCCCAGTGGACGGTATGGTAAAGGTGGGTGAGACGATCAGGAGGAAAGCAACGTCAAACAAATAAGAATAAACTCTAAAATGGCTTATTTTTCTTTTAATGCAAAGTTTTAATTTTGCTCTTGTGGGTTTTTTTTAGAGAATGAATGTTGGACTGATTTTAAGAAACGAATCTTTCCCATCATCACTGGCTCTGTTGTGGTCGGCCTCATCCTGTGTATTGTTTTGAGCTTCCTCTTCATCAGAGATCACCAGCAAGGTTATGAAAGGCTGTAATCTTGCTGTAAAATTGGAGATTTTCTAATATAGTTTCCCATCTTCATAAATACCTGTATTTAACTCATAACTGTGTAATGTCTAATGTTGTAAATGTAAATTTTTAAGATGTTATGTATTGTTTTTACTGTTGCAAAAAACCCGGTGAGCCATGAGATTGAGGCAAAAAAAGGAAAAATAAAATATTTTTGTCAACATTTCATGTTTTTTTTAATTAAGTGTGTCTCTGCTGCCCTCCTGTGGACAACATGAAAACTGCAGAAGCAAAACTTAAAAATCAGACGTAGTATTTCATAGGAAGATAATTTAAAAACTACTTCACGGCTTCCGTAATCAAAATCAAAAATACATTTTTTTTGCAGTTCCTGGTTTCAATCTTGACAAACATTTTTTTAATACCARAACAAAACAAAACAACAACAAAAAAAAAATAGAACATTATGTTTATTGTCGCCCTCTAGTGGCAAAACTGCCTGTTTCATTTACTGCAGTTTTGATGGTATTTCTTTAATTATTCTCGCTGATATCTGCACTGCTTTAAAAGATGAATTTTAATTCAGTCAAAACTCATTACTCACTATACTTTTTTGCAGGAAAAAAAATACTTTTCAGGTTTTAGATGTTTTTCTATGTTATTATCCGTCTAACAGGGAAGTGCTGCTCTCTAGTGGTGATAATCTGTAACTACAGCATCCTCCTTCGCATCATTTTTTCTGATTGGTTAATCATAACTACGGGTCCTCGGTGAGGCCATAAATCAAACTAGTGATAAAAATAAAAGAAACACGATGTGTTTTGTAATTTCTTCGACGTAGTTTAGTCACACAGATGTTTCATGTTGATTGAGAATAATGTTTTTAATCCGTTGACGAGGAAACAGGCTATATAATCCGATTTAAATTACAGCTTCGCTTTTTTTCTCCGTTCGCCTCCACTGGTCCCAGGCTTGTTGTTAGCATCGCTAGCAGCTCGTAGCTATGGCTGCAGTTATTCTGAGTTTTCCAACACTGCACGGGCTGAGGATATTCACACAGTGAGTGCATAAATCTGACTGATCTGTTTTTTTATGAAAACAATTTCCCACTTGCAGTTTCGATGTTTATTTAGCTCAGTTTTAGCGTTAGCTTATAAGTTTGTGAGCAGTTCGCCTCCAGCTGTGCTAACAACTCAGATATGCGCAAATATCCTATTTATCTTTACTGTCACCATATCTTATTTGCACAAAAGTGATGTTTTTTCTATTGTAAATAATGTAATTCAGGATTTTTTTTTATTATACGAGGTAGAAGATGAAAAAAATGTGCAAGGTTAAATCAGACTGCAGAAGGGTAACAGTTATTCAGCTTAAATTTAGCTGCTTTTCACAGTAAATTGAATCTTTTCCACTAAGAAGGTTTTCTCCTTCCTTCAGAAAACTGTCATGGACCAGAAGAGTGAGGCATGTGTCAGGTGGTGAGTACRTTTATTATTTGAGGGCTTTTTKKT